CGATGGCGGATCGTAATTGAAGCCTTTCATAGCGTCTTTTGATCATTGCACATATGCTGTCAGTGTGTATATATGTATAGGTCAATATGTATGCATGTATATTCATGTCTCTACCTGCTGGGATACATGCATATATATATAATATATACATATACATACAATTTATTTCTTATAAAGTGCATCATTACATCTATATCTTTACCTACCTATCTATCGATCTATCTACCTGTCTATCTCTCTATCTGTCTATCTGTCTGGCTGTCTATCTAACTGTCCAGCTATTTATCTACCTGTAATCATATGTATACAATCATCCTGAAGTAGAAAGAATACCACACGTTCAAAAATCTTCCAATTCATGAGTCTTTTTGACGTATCCATATTCTATCTACTCCGGGATGACCACTATATAATCGATATATAATATACACACACACCTATCATTCCTCTTGCCGATTCCAACCTTTCGTACCAGGCAACGCTGAAGCAGTAGAAGATCAGAAGCAGAAGCACCAAGGTCCACATCAGCGAGCCGGTGGTGCTGATGATGGAGAAGATCAGCGTTTTCAAGGCGCTCACCTCGTGCTGGGTGCTGGGAGTGCTGGGTGCTGGGGTTGATGACTTGCCGGAATGTGTCGGTCTTTCTTGGTGGGTCTGTATCATGTATACAATCCATATACTCATATATACTCAATAGATCTATAGATATCATAGAGAAACTTGGCGAAACTTGGAGATATCCGATTCGTGGATCTAACAAGATCCAACTCGCCAACTTTGGATATCTATACCAGCCGAACTTTGAAAAAAACAACGTTGGATGATGATATCGCATGATATCCCATAGAATCGTTGTTTGAATCCCACGGAAGGATATAGAAGACATGTGATACTCTGAATTTTAGTGCAGAGAAACATGCTTGGGGACTGGACAGACCATGAAACTCATGATTGAATAAGTCCAAACTTGAGGATGTAAGACAACAATAGACAACAGACATAAGGCAAAGCAAACCGCATATCTTCGGACATAAATATAAATAGGAAGGGGACATGAACAAAAGATATGCCTGTAAAGGGTGCACTTGCGGTCTTAATTTGTTTTCAAAGACACAACTTTGGGGTAGTGCGGTCGGGATACCCCAATGAACCGAATCTTGGGAAACATGATGAACCATACGTTTTTTGGGTAACCAATTTTCAGAGATTGGTTGAAAAAAACAATTTGGAGGAACTTCCCCCGTACCTGACAGGGCAGAAAAAGGTGTTTTGTGCATCGCTTGGGTGCGAAAATGGGAGTTGGCCTGGTTTTTGGAATCAAAACTGCTTTGACAATGAGATTTGGGGTGCTGAAACATCAAGCATGTGTGTTTGGCTATCAATTATCCGGTTTTGACGGTGAACATAGAGTTTCAATCATCAAAGCTGGATGGTGTTACATTGAAACCAAATACTTTGTGGAGCCTTGGTAAACCTGGCGGATGAACATGTTTTTTTTGTTTGAGCTCAACTTTGTCTCGAGAAAAGTGATCATAGTATGCACAAACAAGTGTGTTCCAGTGGCAATCGAAGGCAAGCATGATGTACAATAGAGTAGTTCACATTTAAAAGAAAACAGTGTGGTTGTTTCAAACATCACACCGGTGGTTTCTCATCATTCTTGCGTCACCATAGCACGTTTGCTATTACCCAAATTTCAGACACACCAAATCCACTATCCATTGAGAAAATATGGTCAAGAACACAAAAACGCATTTGTTCATAGTAAACCACACTCTTGCATCATGTCTGACCATTTCTTCTGATCAAAGAAACATGTTTCTCTTCACCCAAAAACGGCTTGAATCCTAAAGCAATTATACTCCAAATTCCCAGCTTTTCATGAACAATAGCAATGGACAATTCCCCATTAACATGGGTCATTAAATGTCCCCATTTTTCACATCACCCAACCATGAACGGTATATGGTCTACTAGATGGCTACTTTTTCAGGTGATGTCCAATATTCCCAAAATGGGAATTTTTCCAACCCCTGATTAAGTTACGTCTTTTACTTCAAACCTCCATTTGCTTCGGGGAGTTCCCAAACCTCCATGAAGTTCGATGATTGACCTCTCCAACTCGCAGATATTCATTGCAAACTGGTAAATGACACCGAAAAAAATCAATGTATGTTTTTTTTTTCCATTAAAACCGTCATTTACAATGAGATGTTCCATTAAATCATATTAAATCTTCCATTCATGAGGGTTTTTGCCACATTTTCTGATGAAAACCTCCATTCTTCGTGGATTTCCCCGTGCCCCCCACGGTAAATCCCGATGTTTTTTGCCGCGACGCATATCGCAGGAGCTTCACCACCCGCATACCCCGCAGTGCCCGAGCAAGGCGGAGGAAACGCATGTAGCGCATCTCAGCCAACAAACCTCGACTCGTGGGGTATAGTATATGTGGTATAATGATGGTATGGTATACCATAACAATCCCATTTATGGTATA